TCCAAATAAAGGGGTCCAAAGTGTTCCAAGGGACATCATCACACTTGGTGTTTTGAATTTCATAGTGAGAAAATCCTTTAAGCTGAAAAAAACAAACACAACAGTCACACATAAAGGCTTCAGCAATAACACTGGAAGATGGGGATGGAGGCCTAGGACAGATTTATACAATATGAGGTTAATAAAAAACACAATTTTATAAGATAAAAAGGTGGGTTTGGCATTGAGTTTTAGTGAAAAATACATAGAAAATTAAGCCAACAAACAAGACTCATAAAAACTTCATAGAAAACAAAAATTTATTAAGGAAAGATAAAGTGACCCATCACACTATCTGGCCTAGCTGTGAGACTATGCAGTCATAATATAAACACTAAATTCTGAACTGTCCAAATTAAAGATGCGCCTGCTCGGATAGCCATGTATTTGTCTGCACAGCAACAGCAAAGGGTAAAAGAAAACCAGAAACTTCACATCTATTCAGAGTTAAGAGAATAGAATGTATGAAATGGAGGAAGAGTCATAAATAAGCAAGTCAGCACATCTATCTAGTAATATGCAAATTGGTTGGGACGCCATCACAGTAACAACCATCAGCAGGCTGTGTGCGCAGCGGGTGGGTGGGGACTTGCAGCATTGGGGACTCAATGGCCACTGCTGCTTGCCCCAGGCTGGCCCTGGGCAAGCGGGGACAGGGGCGGGGCCCGTTGGAGGGCGGCCTGTACTCCCCACATGGCAGCGGCGGCTCCCGGTGGCCGCTGCCGCTTGCCCAGGGCTGGCCTGGTGCTCCAGCACGCCGCCATTGGCCGCTGCCACTTCGAGGGCCCAAGGCTCAGGCAATGAGGGCTGGGCGAGGCTCAGGCAGCCTCATGGCCGGCAGTGGCAGCAGCAGAGGCGTGATGGGGGTGTCGCCTTCCCCTGATCACAGGGTTGCCTCCTGCAAAGGGAGGCCAGAGGCAACAGCAGCAAGGGGGTGATGGGGGCGGTGCCTTCCCCTGATCAGCTGGTCGCCTCCTGCAGAGGGAGGCCAGACTGCAGCCATCAGTAGGACATCCCCTGAGGGATCCCAGACTGTGAGAAGGGGCAGGCCAGGCTGAGGGACCGCCCCTCCCACCCAGTGCACAAATTTTGTGCACCGGGCCTCTAGTATACTATAAAGACCAAAGGAATCACCCAAGAGCAAGCCTGGGTTCTCTGCAGAAGAAACATGACCTGGGGAAGGCTAGTCATAGTTTTTCCTCACAAGCCTTTCTAGATTTATTTGACCTCTTAAAAACATGAAGATACATCCTTGGTTTGAAATAAAATTAATTTTTTATTTTAAAATTCATATGAATCCAAATAACAAGTACTAAGGATGAGTATGCAGTCAATGTATTTTACCAAATTAACAGCAAGCATCAAGATGACTAATTCCACACAATGCCCAGACATGCCTGGAACAACATGTCTGGCTTGTATTTAACGGTATTCGAGGAATTTCAGCGTGCTCGGAAAATAACAGCCTACTAGGGATGTCACTTAAAAAATGTCTCTGATTTGAGAAAGAAAATCTTGCTTAGCCCAAAATAACTTGTATAACCAATTTTTTAAAATGTTTTATTTATTTTTTTACAGAGAGGGAGAGGGATAGAGTGTTAGAAACATCAATGAGAGAGAAACGTCAATCAGCTGCTTCCTGCACACCTCCTACTGAGGATGTGCCCACAACCAAGGTACATGCCTTGACCGGAATCAAACCTGGGACCTTTCAGTCCGCAGGCCAATGCTCTATCCACTGAGCCAAACCGGTTAGAGCGTATAATCAATTTTTAAAGTGTCATACACATGAGTTTCTTTTCTTGGTTTTCAATGTTGAATGTGTGGTGCTTCTAAGGGAAAAGGCATGTTCTCTGGTTGCTTTTCTACTGGGTCAAAAACTTTTATAACATGAATCTTGAGACTTTTTGCAGCCATAACTCAGCAATTGAGAACTCAGCTGTGTGCTGATTCTTCCAGGAGCTTGGTTATTTCTTAACAGAAAAGGAAAATGCCTTTCTATGTATGATCACCAGCCCTGTGGGAGGAATGTGTACTGAAGGAGTGATACCAGTATAAATACCATCGGTAGTTCAAAAAGTGTGTTCTCTGCTCAAGCCCTTTTGGTAAATGAATGTTTCAGTTGGGAAGCATTAATGGAGAATCTACCTGATCCATTTGTGACTGAAGGTCACAAGTCATCCTGGCAGACAGTGTGATCACCTGAAACCCTGTCCCAAACAGTGTTTTAGATAGGACTAACTAAAGGGCATGAAGTCCTTCACAACAGGGTCTCAACAAGCCCTCCACCCTTTCAGAGGTTGGCAGTATGCCAAATTCTCAAGCTCTTGCCCATATATGCCAAGCTATAGCTGTCACACGTCCCCTTTGCATTAGCTAATCTTCCTGCCTAGAACACCCCATCCTGCCAACTCCACATAGAAAACCCCTTATTCATTCTCTAAACCCCAGTTCAATAACTACATTCTTTCTGAAGACTTTCCAACTTATTACTGCCTTCTCCTTCCTCTACCCAAATATTGGACCTATCTCCATTACTGTACTTACAGTACTGTAATCTAATTATTCTTTTACCAGAAAATCCCCTATACTAGACCATAAACTGCTTTAGTGAAAAAAAGTCTATACCCTCTTTACCTTTGCATCCTCAGACTCCTTAACAGTATCTGGCACACGGCAATTCCCAATAAATGTTTCTTGAACTGTTGAAGTTATGAGGCTGAAGTCAGAGAATAAGAAGCCCCAAACAGCAATATGCCTAACCGGTAGCTATGAAGCGCACTGACCATCAGAGGGAAGGAGGGAGGGCATGAAGAGATTAACCAAAGATCTTACATGCATACTAGAGGCCTGGGCGGTGGGGTCCCTCCACCTGGCCTGCTAGGATCCTCGGAAACCGGCAGTCCAACATCCCCCCAGGGGTCCCAGATTGTGAGAGGTCGCAGGCCAGGCGGAAGGACCCTACCAGTGCACAGATTTGCACTGGGCCTCTAGTACTTAATGATTCAAGAAGAAATTCTCCCATCAAGCAGCTGAGATGTCAGCTTGGCCCACTGGATAGGGCCTGGAGGTGCTTCGGAATATGGCCCCAATGATCCCAGAAGTGCTCTCCTTATGCTCACTGCACATGTATGTACCCAGGTGATGTTAACCTGATTACAGAAGATGCATGGCACATAACTGAACTAATGGCAATTACAGGGAAGTCCAATCCTCATTATAAATTAACTGGCTTTCAAATGTTATTCCTCAAGGCTTTGAAACACCTTCCCAACTACTTTAAACACTGCTTCCAAGCATCCTAAAATTAAACGTACTTAATGAGTTTAGCTTGCAGGTATTTGACCAGTTCAAAATGGTCAAGTATAAACTGGGGCACTAGGTTTCCTCCCATGTTCCATCATTCCTGGTTTGCTTCCATACGTGAACATCCATCAACTGCCTCAGACAAAATCCTGACTATAACACCCTACTTGCCAATAAAGTGAGGATCCTTAAGCAGATACCAGACACTGGTAAAGTCATTGCCTGAGGGCTGAAATGAGCCATGAAGCGGAGGACCCATAACAAAACCCAAAACTGAAGGGCCAGTCATCTGTTCCTGAAGATGCTTCATCTGACCAGAAGTGTTGCTTAATAAATAGCACATAATATGTATTTCCTTTCGTTTTACGTGGTATCCAAACTCCATGCAAAGTCTGACCCTCCCATTTTCTAAGTCGGGTGGGAGAGGATATTTGGCAGCTGGCCCTGAGTACATAACCACTTTCCAAAATATGCCCTCGGTATCCGCTAGTGTCAGACACAGCTTCAGGTTCCCAACACGAAGCTGTCGCACGTCAGAGACTCAAGAATGTGTTTATTTTCAGTCGGGAGCAATCTACAAAGGCTTCCTGTGGGAGAGCATCCGCGCACAGCCTTCAAGAGTGTGGGACGGCTGCTGGGCCTACAGGCCACCGGGAGGGAGGAAGGACACCCCGGCTAGGGCAGGGGGCAGCGCTGCTCCCGTCCCGCCCCGGCCAGGCATGCTGCCCACCCGCCC